GACGGACTCACAGCTGCAGCAGGTACGCTACGATGTCTCTGGGGACCAGCCGCTTCTCGTAGGCAGAGGTGCCGCCCCACAGCACGGCCTCGCAGATGGCGCCGTCCTGGAACCTGCGCAGCTCAGCGCGGTCTCCCCACAGCTGGCGGAACTCCACTGCCTGCGCAGGAGAGACGGGCACGCCGTGAGCCTCCTGTCCTCGGGGGGGGCGAGGAGACCAGGGCACCGTCGCCCTGGCCAGATCTCCACCGCCGCGAGGACGCACGACGCCGTTCTCTTTCGCTGAACTGGAAACACTTAAAATTTGGAATCGAATGCCATAGGAGTCAGAGGTGCATCAAGTATTCAATTTAACACCTGCTGGAAGTATCGAATTCTCACCCTAAAGTGACATTTTGTAGGTAACAAAAATTGCTGAAAGGCAGCTGTCTTCTTCATGCCCATGGAAAGGAAGGAGTTGAAAGTCTTGGTTTCACTCTCCACTGTCAGGACCCGCGACCCCACTAGGGCACGGAGATGCGGTTCCTGGGGCCTCCTGCCAGTGCCTACTGCCGAGATCCCACTGCTCTCCGTGCTGCCCCCTGGTGGTGGGAAGACCTAACTGCCACTGTCGGACCAGGACCAATAGCTCAATCACCATGTTCTGGATGAAACCTCAAAGCATCTCTTCTTATTATAAGTAGCAATATTTTCATCTCTCCGAGATACACCTGGTCCCACAGGCCCATGAGTGACCCTCACTTACTGGAGGACAGAGAGGTCAAACAAACAGGAGGTGACAAAAGACAGGATAAAGATGGAGAGCGAGGAAAGAAAGAGGAGAGCAGGCCGAGAGGGAGGGAAGGAATGAGGATCAGGGAGGAACGGACCCATATTTTACTACTTCCGCCTGTCGAATAAGCACTGCCAAACACCTCGGCACTCAATTAACGCTGCACTTGCTGCTCTCTGTGGGTTTATTGTGCCGCTGTGATCTGCACCCTCTGCATCTTGAATGGAAGGGACTGCAAGTCATCCCGGATAAAAGACCTGGCCAAACGAGTACGTGCGACAGGACGGCCAGTACCTGGGGGCTGTCGGCAGCAGGCCCTCTCTCCAGCACGGCAGCGTTGAGCTCGGGGTTCAGCAGGAGGCCGAAGGACAGCGCAGGCTGGTCCTTGTGCTTCGGAGGGTCGCAGTCCA